GGGGGGGGGGGAGGGGGGATTCAGCTGGTTCGGGCAGGTTTGGACAAACCGGTTGTGAAAATCCTGCCTGGCTCCGCCCTGTTTATCTGGCCTTCGCCACGCGGCCCGGCCAATGTCCAGGCCTGCCCCCCCCCCCGCTCACTCTCCTCCCCGCAGCTGACCATCCTGGAAAAGGATTCCCAGGAATCCGGCGGGGCAAGAGATCCCCGGCGGGTTTTCCAGTATCAGATCCAGGATAAGAACGTCGCGTTCTTTGCCCGAGGAATGTCGGCCGCCGTGTTGTGACTGAGAGAGAGGCTGGCGGTGGGTTCCCGGAAAGGCCGTCGGAAGGAGATCTGGGGCAGAGCGAGGAGGATCGGCGCTCCCCGAGGGACCCGAGGGGATCGGGTTGGCGGCGCCGGCATCGAATCCTGGTCGAGGGCGGCCGGAAGAAAGAAGGGAAAGAGATGACAGTGTAATAAATGAAGCGGGATTGTGATCCAACCCAAAGGCTGTTTGTGTCTGCCTTCTCACACACCGGGATGGACTCCGGGGTCACGCAGTCTGGGTCTCTTTCGACAGCGGGACTCCAACTCCCAGAATTCCCCTGGCAGCCCTCCCTCCCTCCTTTCCATCCATCCATCCATCCATCCATCCATTTCCTTCCTTCCATTTCATCCATCCATTTCCTCCCTTTCCTCCCTCCCTTTCTCCTTCCTCCCTCCCTCCCTCCTTTCCATCCATTTCCTTCCTCCCTCCTTCCTTTCCATCAATCATTTCCTTTCTTCCTTCCCTCCCTCTTTTCCATCTATCCATTTCCTTCCTCTTTCCTCCCTCCCTTTCTCCTTCCTTCCTTCCCCCCTCCTTTCCATCCATCCATTTCCTTTCTTCCTTCCCTCCCTCCTTTCCATCCCTCCATTTCCTTCCTCTTTCCTCCCTCCCTTTCTCCTTCCTTCCTTCCACCCTCCTTTCCATCCATCCATTTCCTTTCTTCCTTCCCTCCCTCCTTTCCATCCATCCATTTCCTTCCTTTTTCCTCCCTCCCTTTCTCCTTCCTTCCTTCCACCCTCCTTTCCATCCATCCATTTCCTTTCTTCCTTCCCTCCCTCCTTTCCATCCCTCCATTTCCTTCCTCTTTCCTCCCTCCCTTTCTCCTTCCTCCCTCCCTCCCTCCCTCCTTTCCATCCATCCATTTCTTTCCATCCCTCCTTTCTATCCTTCCTTCCTTCCTTCTTCCTTCCCTCCCTCCCTCTTTTCCATCCACCCACCCACCCATCTGCCTTTAATGAGCTCCGTGGCTTCGCAGTCTTGGTGTCCCTTTTGCCGCAGGGACTTCATCTCCCGGAATTCCCTGGATGGGCCAGGGGACTCTGGGAGTCGTAGTCCAAAGGATTAAAAGAGGGCGGCTGAGGCGGGGAGGTTGGGGAATGGACGGAGAGTCCAGGGGGAAAGTACAAACACAAGGGGACGGACGGACGGACGGACACACGGACACGGACACAGCCAAACAGAGACACAGCGCAACAGCAGCTGAAAAGGTTGCTGAATTCAATTCCTCTGGCCTCCCTTTTCCTCCCTCCCTCCTTCCCGTTCCTTCCTTCCTTCCTCTCATTCCCATTTCTACCTTTTCTAGTCCTTTTCTCCTTCCTTCCTTCCTCTTTCTTGCCTTCCATCCTTCTTTCCCTCCCTCCCTTTCCTTTCTTTTTCTTTCTTTCCTTCCTCCCCTCCTTCCTTTCCTGACTTCTTTCCTCCCTTTTTTCCTTTCTTCCTTTCCCCCTCCCTTCTTCCTTTCCTTCCTTTTCTTTCCTTTCTTTCCTTCCCTCTCTTTACCTTGCTCGCTTCCTCCTACTCTCCTTCCTTCTTTTCTTTTCTTCCCCTTTTTTCTTCCTTCCTTTTTCTGTTTCCTTCCTCCCTTTTTCCTTCCTTCTTCTTTCCTTCCTTCCCTCCTCCCTCTTCCCTTCTTTCCTTTCTCTTCTTTATTTCCTTCCTTTCTCCACTTACTTCTTCCATCCTTCCTTTTTCTTTCCTTCCTTTCCTGCCTTCTTTCCTTTTCTTTCCTTTTTTCCTTCCTCCCTCTTTCCTCCCTTCCTTTCCTGCCTTCTTTCCTGTTTTCCTTCCTCCCTTTTTCCTTCCTTCCTTCCTTTTTCTTTCCTTCCTTCCCTCCTCCCTTCCCTTCCTACCTTCTTTCCTTTTTCTTTCCTCCCTCTTTCCTTCCTCCCTCCCTCTCTCCCCTCCTTCCTCTTTCTTCCCTCCTTTCCTTTTTCTTTCCTTCCCTCCGTCCCTCCCTCTGCCCGATGGGTGAAATCACTCGTGGGGAGCGTTGGGGGGGGGTTGAGTCCTCTCTTTGGCGCCCCCGCCTTTCTCAACGACTCTTTTGTCCGAGAGCAGCCCGGCGCTAGGACCCAGAGGACGACAGGACTCTGCCACCGACGTTCCTGCCGGGCGAGGGGCGTGGCTTCAGCTAGAGGGGAGGGGGGGAGAGAAGGAAAAAACGGGGAACTACCTTGCGCATGCCTATGCCACCGGGAGGGGCGTGTCCGCGGCCACGGAAGCCGGGCCAGGCCAAAGAAGCGAGCGTGTGGCCGCCGCGCCTTCCTTCCGCCTTTCCTCCACCCGGCCCGCTGCTTCGTCGCCGATCGGGAAAGGAGCCGCTTCCAGGGAGGCCCAGGCGAGGCCTCGGGACGGTCCCTCCTCCGTTCCCCGCCGGGTCTTGCTTGCAGGTGGGTAGGGACTCCCCTAGCCCAGCCGGCCGGCCCGGCCCCGCCGAAGCCCATCGTCCCCATCGCCGCTTCCTTGCCTCGGGGGCCGCTTTAGACTACGTTTCCCGTCATGCCCCCTGCGGCCTGGCCGGCAGCCTCCTCTGGCGGCGGGGAGGGGGGAGAGATGGGAATTGTAGTCCAAACCTTTCCACCCCCCCCATCATTAAACCTGTCGTATGGGGTACTTCAGATCCCATCATCCCCACCCAGGCTTTGGACTACATAGCCCATAACAGGCTCGTTGCTCCTTTTCATCTGTAAAAAAAAAAGGTGGAGACTGTAGGGGGTGGGTAATGGTACCCCAGGCCCCGTTATTTCCACTCACTGGGTGGTAGAAACCTGGCTGGTGATGGGAGTTGTAGTCCAAACCTCCCCCCCCCACCATCATCCCCATTGCTTTGATTGGGAGGGAGGAGGGTGGGTACTTCAGATCCCATCATCCACACCCTCTTCGAATACATAGCCCATGATGGGCTCACCGTTCCTTTATATCCTTTAAAAAAAAGAGGGGTGGGGGGGTGTATCCCAGGACCCATTATCCTCAGCCACTGGGTTATAGAAACTTTCTGGCTGGGGGAGATGGGAGTTGTAGTCCAACCCATCATTCCCGCTGGCTTTAACTGAAGTTGAATGGAGTCCTTCAGAGCCCATCATCCCCACTCAAGCTTTGGACTACATATCCCATGATGGGCTCGGCATTATGTTTCATCCTTTAAATCAGAGGTGGGGGGGGCTGTAGGTTGTAGGGGTGTTGTATCCCAGGACCCATTATCCCTAGCTTTAGTAAAAAGACTTTCTGGCTGGGGAGAGATGGGAGTTGTAGTCCAAGCACCCTCCCAATCATTCCCTTGTGCTTCAACTGGCTCTGGGGTGAGGAAGATGGTGGGTACTTCAAATCCCATCATTCACCACCAGGCTTTGGATTACATATCCCATGATGGGCTCACCGTTCTGTTTCATCCTTTCATAGGGGCTGTAGGGTGTGGGTGGAGTTGTACCCCTGACCCATTATCCCCAGCCACCGGGTTACACAAACTTTCTGGAAGGGAAAGATGGAGGTTATAGTCCAACATACTGCATGCAATACATCTCCCATCATCCCCGTCGCTTGAACAACCTGGGTGGGGGGAGGTTTGGGACAGAGACCTTATACTGCATGGCTCATCATCCCCAGCCATGGCTTGCAGGCAAGCTGGGCAGCATCTCCCCTCACACCCTGCCCATGGCTGGGCGGGAGATGGGGGTTGTAGTCCAATCGTTTCCCCCAGTTGGAATACATCTCCCATCATCCCCACTGCTTTCACCAGCTAGGGGCAGATGGGAGTTGTAGTCCAAGCCCTTTCCCTACATACGTTGGACTACATATCCCATCATCCCTCTTGCTTCAACTGGCTAGGAGCAGATGGGAGTTGTAGTCTCACCCCTTCCCCGACATATATTGGACTACATCTCCCATCACTGTTGCTGTTGTTTTAACTGGCATGGGGAAGATGGGAGTTGTAGTCCAAGCCATGATACATATACCCCCGCTAACTGGAACTGCGATCCCGTACATTCTCGACTTAACAACGGTTTAGCGATGGTTTCAAGTGATGATGGTGCCGGAAAAAAGGGGGACTTAGGTTTCCCCCTTAACGACCGTCGGTATCCCCGGGGTTGCGTGATGGGAATCCTGAACCTTGCGGACCGTTCTCGCGTTTACAACAGTCGCGGCCATCCCGGGCTTGCGCGATTTCCTCCTTTGAAGCCCGATTCGCTTCAAACGCCTAGCCGACTCTCTTAACAACTACGCTGGCTCGTTTCACAACGGAGTGGGGAAAGAAGGGTCGTAGAATGGTTCGGATGTCTCACTTAACGACCGAAATATCGGGGACTCAACCTGGGCAGCAAAAGCAAGGGTGGAATTCAGGGAATTCAATGTCTCGCTTCATGACCGGAAGGGAGCTCTCAAACAGTGGTCATAAGGCAGGCAGGGACGGACCCAGGTGGCTTTGGAAGATGGGTTTTAGAGTACGAGGAAATGCCAAACCTGGAATCCCCCCTCCCCCCCCCTTCCCCCGAATATGGCTCAATCCTTTCTCTGTGACGGATGGGTTGAATCATCACTGAAACAACCTTTGGTGATTTTGGGTGTGTCTTTTTCACATAAGTCCCTTGTGTGTGTGACCTGAGGGGTGTGTGCCTCGGTTGTGCAAGGGGCGGGTGTGGGTTTGTTTGTGTCATTTTTTCCACGCTTTTCTTCTGAGCGAAATATAACATAAGCTCTGTCTCCGACTTTGAAAGAAATCGACTTCAGACAAAATTGAGGGCGAAATTCATCTATATTCTACCTATTTATCCTTCCTTCCTTCCTTCCTTCCTTCCTCCCTTCCTTCCTTCCTTCCTTCCTTCCTTCCTTCCTTCCTTCCTTCCTTCCTTCCTTCCTCCCTTCCTTCCTTCCTCTCTTTTCTTTCTTTCTCTCTTTCTACCTACCTACCTACGTGCTATCTGTCTTTCTATCATCTATCTGCTTTTCTGTCGCTGTCTATCTACCGTTTCTATTTATATCTCTCTACCTTTCTATATCTGTCTGTGTCTGTCTGTCTGTCTGTCTCTATTTATCTACAGTAGATGCATCTAATCGCGGCCAGGGGTGGGATTTGCTGACAAACCGGCCATAAAATTAACAACTGGTTCTGCTGAACCGAGATGAACCGGTTTAAACCCACCCACCCGGTTTAAAGCACTTCGCACGATATTTTCATAATAATTCATAACGCGAGAACAAAATAAATGACGGTATCAACTCATAAAATATTTCTCTGGTCTTTCAGAGTCACCAACAGAAAGTTGACGGCGGGTTAACTCAGTTCCTTGGGCCTTTGAAATGTAAAGAGAATCTCTCCCGTATTTTCCAATTTAAAAAAAAGAATCGGGTAGGAAGGTTCCTTTGTGAAGGATCACGGCCGCCGGCCCGAGGGCTTGATGCGAATCTCATGCAAATGTTTGCAAATGAGCCGGCGCCGTTTCCCAAACCGGACCGAGAAGCCAAGATTCCTGTTTTCTTGTTATTGTTGTTTTATTTTTGTTTTAAAAAACTTGCTTTTTAAAACTCTGTCGCCTGTGTGTGTTTACCTTCGCCTGTCTCACGGGACGGGTTGCGTCGCATCGGCATTGTTTGATATTTTAAGAAGTGAGGAATTCCCCATTGTGGTTCCAGTCCCAAAGGAACAAGCCGGGATCGAAGCGTGAGGGTGTTTCGTTTTGGTTTTTTTTTTTTTGCTTTCATCGCAGACAGTTCTCAACTTACGACCGCCGTGCCCGTTGTCGAGGTTGTTCAGGGAGTTTTGTGCGCCCCCTCACCCCAGTTTGGCGACCGTTTAGACTGCCGTTGTTGAGCGAATCGCGGCATTGTGCTCGTCAAGACAGAACTCACACGCCCACACCCTCCCCGGGATACAGTGACCGTCGCAACTACGAGTCGGCTGAGTGGCTGAATTTTGGGTCCCGTGGGGACAGTATGATGGTCGTCATGGGGAAAATGGGCCTTTTTGTCAGTGCCGTTACGATGGTCGAAAGGTCGTTAAACGAACTGGGATTTGGAGAGGCCTATCTGAACAGCTAGTCCTAAAGTTACGATGGGTCACTTAGCTTCCTTCCTTCCTCCTTTCCCCTCCGTTACCCATTCATACATTCACTTCTTCTTTCTCTCCCTTCCTTCCTTGGTTCCTCCCTCTCTCCCTCCTTTGCTTCCTTTCTTCCTTCTTTCCTTCCTTCCCTCCATTCCTTATTTCCTTCCTATCTTCTCTCCCTCCCTCCCTGATTTCTTTCCTTCCTCCCTCCCTTCCTCTCTTTCTCCCCTTTCTTCTCCATTCTTTTCTTCTTTCCTTCCTTCCCTCCTTTCTTCATTACGTCCCTCCCTCCCTTCCCCTTCCTTCCTCCTTTGCTTCTTCCTTCCTTCCTTCCTTCCTTCCTTCCCTCCCTCCCTCCCTTCTATCTGTTCAACAATTTTGGCCACCTCAAGTTGAATGGACTTCAACTCCCAGAATTCTCCAGCCTTCACGTTGTTGACTGTTCTATCCATCCATCCAGGAAAGGAGAAAGGAATGGAGTGGAATGGAAAAAGGGAAGGAGAAAGGGGGGAAAAAAAGAAAGAAATGAAGGAAGGAAAGAGAAAAGTTAAGGTGAATGGAAAGGAAAGGAGAAAAGAATGGAATGGAAAAGGGAAAGGAAAAGGGGAAGAAATTGGAAAGGAAAATAAAGGAAAAACAGAAATGAAGGGAAGAGGAAGAAGAGAAAGGAAAGAAGGGAAGAGGAAAAGGGAAGGGAAAAAAACAAGAAAACAAAGAAGAGAAGGAAAGAGGAAAAGGAAAGGAAGGGGAAAGAGGAAAAAGTAAGGACTGGAAAGAAGAAAGGAAGGAAGGGAAAAGGGAAGGGAAGGAAGGGAAATGAAGGAGGGAGGAAAATAAAGGAGAGGAAAAAAGAAGGGAAGGAAGATAAAGGAGGAAGGGAAAAAAGAAAGACAGGAAAGGAAAAAGGGCAGAGGGGAGGTTAAGGGAGATAGATGACACATCTCTTTTTCAATCCCATTGAAACGCCAGACAGTCGCCAAACTAAAGGGTCGTTACTCAAGGACTACGTCACCCCTTTCTCCCGTGTGTGTGTGTGTGGGGGGGCGCAGGGGACTTCGCTTTGCGCCACGTCTCCTTGAAGCGCCTCCTTTGTAAACTGAGGACTGGGCTGGCTTTCGTGAACGACGGAGCAGGCCCCCCACACGACTTCTTCTTCCTTCCCACTTCGGCCATTTCTCTCCCCCCCCCCCCCCCCCCCCCGCATTCTCGCTTCCGCAATCCAGGGTGTCTTTCGCACTCGGGGAGGCCTCGGCGGCGACACTCTGCAGGCACTCGTCGGGATGGCAGCGAGCTGACGCGGAACCACCGAGGATGTCCTGGACTGAGTCGCTCCGCGGGAAGATCTCCGGGGCCTTCTACAACCACGGCTTGCGCTGCGCCTCCTGCCCAATACCCATCATCCTCTTCACAGGCCTCTGCGTCCTGGCCTGCTGGTAATACCTTCGGCCCATAGGACTAGGGGATTCTGGGAGTTGGAGTCCCCCCCCCCCTTAAAGGACGCCAGGGGATTCTGGGAGTTGGAGTCTATTCCTCTTAAAGGACGCCAGGGGATTTTGGGAGTTGGAGTCTATTCCTCTTAAAGGACGCCAGGGGATTCTGGGAGTCGGAGTCCTCCCCTCTTAAAGCATGAAACTCGGCCTGGCCTTGGGTGTTAATTCTGCCTTTCTTTCCTTGACTGAAGTTATCCATTACTGAAGCTCCCGCTTCCGGGCACGGGGCCGGTGGAGTACACCACGCCAGTGAAGGACTACAGCCAGCCGCCCCTGTTCCCCACCCAGCCGCAAGGAGAGCTGAGCGAGCGTCCTGACTGGGTAAGGGACGGACCACGACCCCCCCCGCCCCGTGCGAATCGACGTTTTGATAGCGAGACCGTCAAGACAGAAGGGGTGTCGTCCTGAGCCGGGTGGTTTTCTTGCAGACGTTTCGTGACCCATCTAGGGAACGCCATCAGTGCTGGAAGGGGAGGGGGTTGGGTTGGGTTGATGGCGCCTTTTAGCACTGATGGTGCTCCCTCGTTGAGACGTGAAACATCAGCAAGAAAACCGCCCCTCCAAGAGAGCCCCGAGGATCCCACAGTCCTTCTCCTCCCGCCCCTCCTTTTTCCTCTTCTCCCCCCCCCCCCCCTTTGTAGCACTGTTGATGTTACCTAGTTGGGTCATGAAACGTCTGCCATGAAAATCACCACGAAAACCACCCATCTTCCTCCTCCACCTCCTTTCTAACACTGATGATGTTACCTAGTTGGGTTGTGAGACGTCTGCAAGAAAAGCACCTAGCTCAGAGAGCGCCAAGGCCCCCACAGTCCTTCCTTCCTTCCTCCCTCCCTCCCCCTGCAGCGATGCAACAATTATATCCTTGCAAATTCTTGGACCCTCCCTTTAGCGTGAAATAGAAAAGAGCGCCTCTGGGTGTTGTCTTTCTCCCTGGCCTACCTCGCAAGGCCAAGCGTAACACGTAACACTAGTGCCTTGTTTTCCCCCCGAAAACACAGCCTACCCTAAAAGTAAGGCCTAGCTTGATTTTTACACATGCACACGCAAAAGCCCCACCCCCCAAATAAGCCCTAGTGAAGATCTCGCCTACTGCAGAGTCCCAAAATAAGCCCTAGTGAAGATCCCGCCTACCGCAGAGTGCAAAAAACTAAGCCAGAGTGGGGATGGGGGGTGTTGGGGCTGCCCTACTCCTTACCTTTGGACGGGTGTAGCCAGGCTTTGCACGTCCTGACACCTGCCTGGCCGGCCCATTTCTTCTGCAGCCAGCAAGGCTGGCAAGGCTTTCCCAAAGGCCTCCGGAGCGGATTCCAAAGCTCCGGATCGATCCTATCGGCTACAGAGGCCTTCGGGACGGCCGCAGGTGAAGGAATTCTGGAAGGAAGCCGGAGGCGACGCGCGCAAGTGAGATCAATCCGTGGAGGACCCCCCCCCCCAAATAAGAACTGGTGCCTTTTTTTGTGGGGGGGGGAACCGAATGATAAAACAGGGTCTTATTTTTGGGGGGAAACACTGTTATCCGTGCATCCTTCTCTCCTCTAGTACTCTGGAGCGCCCGTGGCCTACATCCAACAGGTCCTGGTGAAAGCCACGGTTTCTCCGTGGCCCAAGAACTTCCTGGCTGTTGACGTCTTTCGTGCTCCGCTCGCCCGGGTCTTCCAGCTGGTGGAGGAGCTGCGGAACCACGCTTTGCGCGACGGGTAGGTGGTAAAACAGGGACAGCTGTGCGTCTTCCCCAGCCGCCATCACGCAAGCATAAACGCGTACCTCCGGCGCTGTTCGCACCTGGTCCTTGGCATAAACGATGGCGGTCGGGCACACGCACACACACACCATCCATCCCTCAGCGGAACAGTTCAAGGGAGCTGCGCCCCCAACCCCCCCCCCCCAGTTTTGCGAACTCTCTGGCTGCCATCGTGAAGTGGATCCCTGCTGTTGTTAAGTGAGTTGCACGGTCATTAAGTGGATCGGGCTTCCCTGTAGGCGTTGCTCATCAGAAGGTTGCCAAAGCATGACTTCCGAGATAATGTGACCATCATAAACAGGAGTGGATCTCAGAGGTCCTCTAGACCAACCCCGTACTTGAGCACGAAACCCTTATGGAATCATAGAATAACAGAGTTGGAAGGGACCTTTGAGGTCATCTAGTCCAACCCCCTGCTGCAGCAGGAGACCCTGACAGAATCACCCTGTTAGAAGAGACAGAGTTGGAAGGGGGCCTCGGAGGTCATCTAGTCCAACCGCCTGCTGCAGCAGGAGACGCTGACAGAAGGATAGAATGACAGAGTTGGAAGGGACCTCGGAGGTCATCTAGTCCAACCCCCTGCTGCAGCAGGAGAACTTACCTCATTTCAGACAAATGGCTGCCCAGTCTTTTCTTAAAAAGCCTCCAGGGATGGAGCATTCAGGGCTTCTAGTGGCAAGCTGTTCCACTGATTCGTTGTCCTCCCTGTCAGGAAGTTTTTCCTTCACTCCGGGTCTCTCGATTTGTATCCGTCCGTTGCTTCTCGTCCTGCCTTCTGGTGCTTTGGAAAATAAGTGGACCTCTCCTTTTCTTTGGGGCAGCCCCCCCCCCCCAAAAAAACACTGGAAGCCTCCAGGGCCTGGGGAGGGTGAAAAACGCCCCCCCCGGAAGGAACAGCCCCCCCCCACCATGGTGCAGGAGGCTGACCAGGCCACGCCCACCATGGCCACGCCCACCCAGCAACTGGACAGAGAACCGGTTGCTAAAATACTTCGAGGCCCACACCTGCCATAACCCCTTGGGGTGCGGGGTTGGAGTCAGAGCAACTGAATGGAGCTGGGGTGTTTATTGGACGGGCGCCCTTCCTGTCGCCAGAGCAGAGTTTTGTTCGGCAGATTTATTCTTCTGCCCACAGAGGGAGGGAAATATCTGCCTCTACCTAGGATCGAACTCGCAGCATTCGGATGGTGAGGGGAGATGCTCCGCCTCTAGGCCACTGTCACCTCTCCGCCCTTCCCATTTTTGTACGCAATGTTGCCGTCGGCGCCTGTAACCAAATCCTTCCTCGGCTTGACGTTGGGTCTCCCCGCTTCTTTCCTGTTGGCGTCCAGTCCCCGGATTAAAACTTTGGACGATGTCTGCCTTCAAGTGACCGACCTCCTGCCCGGCCTGAAGAAGCTCCGGGGGCTGCTCCCCGAACACGGCTGCCTTCTCCTCTCCCCCGCCAACTTCTGGCAGAACGACCGGGAGCGGTTTGGCGCTGACCCTGATGTCATTAAAACCATCCACCAGCACGAACCCAAGACCCTGCAGACGTCGGCGACCCCGAAGGGTAGGGAGGGAGCCCCCCAAAGCGGGGGTATGAGAGCAGCCACGAGGTTGAGCTCTCTTGTGGGGGAAGGTTGAGGTGGCGAGGGAGTTTTTTCCAAAGTTGGCTATGTTAAAATGGCTGGTCCTTCTTCCAGCTCCCAGAATTCCTCAGGCACCTAAGAGGAGGAAGGAAAGGAAGGAAGGAAGGAAGGAAGGAAGGAAGGAAGGAAGGAAGGAAGGAAGGAAGGAAGGAAGGAAGGAAGGAAGGAAAGGAAAGGAAAGGAAAGGAAAGGAAAGGAAAGGAAAGGAAAGGAAAGGAGGAAGGAAAGATTGAGAATGAGAGGGAAGGAACAAGGGAAGAAGGAAATGTGAACAAGATGGATGGATGAATAGATAGATATAGATAGGAAGGAAGGAAGGAAAGATTGAGAATGAGAGAG